TGTTTCAATGGTTTGTCGTGTGGTTACTTCCAACTTCTTAAATTCGTTAACAAAATAATTGTTGGTGAAGTGATTGTCGACAAAATGAATCAAACCCATATTTATTTCTACATTATCAAATTCACGATTTTAATTGGTCAATCACCAAATTGCGTGGGTTAAAATTTTGTGTTCCCAGAACGGTCTTTCTGCTCTCTCTGCTCACTTGCACATCCTCGATTACAAAACTTGTTATTCATATTTTTATTGTTTTATTTGTATTACATTGTTATTTTTATTCGTATAACGTCGAAATTAGTCAGCTTGAAAAGGCAAAGGACAAGTTTGGATGGGTCCTTGCTTGAAACAGCAGGGGAAAACAAATACTGCGTTAGCATTATCAGGAAATTTAATATTGAATTAAGCTTGCCTGCCGAAACTTGTTTAGCCTAATGCCGAAAGGTAAAACTCCTTACATAGTGCTGAAATGTTGAAACTGCAAAACCATAGTTCTGACATGATTTAACTATAGTTCAGCTAGGGTTTTATTTGAAATATTTGAAATATTTGTTATGATTATGAGTATTCAAATTACGTTGAAAGTTTATTCGAGTAATTCGAATAAAGCGAATACTTGCTTTTAGAATAGTAGATTATTTAGTCGACTATTTATTTGAATATTAATTAGTTGATCAAAAAAAATTTAGTCGATTATACTGGTAGTTAATTAAAACAGTCGGCTTTCCACTTCTAAGTTAAAATATGGCCAGCAGTTATACCAAAAGTCGGCTATATGCAGTTTTGGCATTTCGGCATTTCAGAACGATTTGCCAAAACTATTTCGGCAGTTTCACATATACCATTTTGACGAAACTCCCTTGTTTTGGCAAGCAATCTTATACTGAATACTCAGTTGAACACAACCGGAAGGGATAATACTCAATGGCAGGTAATAAAAAACAATTAAACAATGCATTATTTCAAAAAATAAAAAATTTTCATATTACTTATAAAGTATCAATATTAATATATTTACAAAAATTCATAAAAAATAGGATCTGCATTAAATTGGTGATTTAGCACTTTTATTTCCAAAAGGGTCTTACGCAGAACGATTTAAAGCTCATTTTCAATACATATTACCAGCTCTTAATTACTTGATACCAGCGTTGAGTGATTCTGACCGCTGCTAATTTTTTTAAAGAAATTTGTGACACATGCTGTAATTCTTTGATAATTTAATTAAATATGTAGTCATATACAAGTATGTAAGTTTTATTATTATAATTATAATTATGTATATATATATTTATATGATACAAGTTTATTTATATATTTATTTTTAGCCTAGAGATAAACAAAAAATTATCAAGTCAATAGCGGATGTTATTCAAATATTACCACCTGAGAAAATGATCCAATCAATATTGGCAAGCTTATATATATTGTTTGTATATATCAATTATCATCAATTATTAATAATTAGACAATTGCAAATGGCATTATTAAAACAACAAAAGAAATTATATTACATGTCAAACAAGTATGTAAATTTTATTATGAATTTAATAATTACTTTTTTAATTTATAATGACCATTTTACTACAAATATAACAAAAAATCAAAAAAAATAAAATCCATAAAAGAATCCATTACAATTTATAACATTATTATAACCCAATTAGAATATTTAACAGCATGTGGTCATGGAATTCAACCTTTTGATGATCACAAAATTATTATAATTGATGATAATGATTCAAAAACCACAAATAGAACTACAACTTCCTCTGACATGATAAAATCTAATGATGAGGTTTTAGTTTCATTCCAGGCCAAAGGACTTACTGATTTATTTTTCAGAGATTGTGCAAAATGTCGCAGAAGTTTGGTATAATGATAACGAAGTTATATATTTATTAAAAAATACATTTACTTTTTTTTTTAATAAAATTACATTAATACTATATATATTCTTCTCTTTCTTTATTAAAAGTGTCTTTGTGAATTTCTTAGTACTGGAATATATACAACTTTAAATTTATTTTTAATATCTATCGAAGTAATTGTCCATTACTTCAATTATCATATCAAAGGTATCCACATTGTTATTGGTTGGATACAACAGTTCGAACTGTAACAGTTTATGGAGTTTTGTTTGAGTGTGAGTCAGCATTAAGCAAATTGTTATTATCTATTACAACCACAACTTTTCAATTGTTAAAAACAAAGCTGGTAAATTATAGTGCTATTAATGACAATGTAATTGCTTTATTTATTTAAATATTTTATTAAAATTTGTATTTTAGATATGGAAAATTACCCAGATATGGTACATTCATTCTTTGAGCTTTTGACAAAGGTGATATAAAAAAATTTTTTTTTTTGATATAAATTTTTTGCGCATTATGATTCACAAATAATAATAATCTCTTTTATTTAATATCTTACAAAATGCCCTATTACATTATATGCATTACTGGCATTTTAAAATTCTCTTGATTTAGGATTAAAAGAAAGACTTGTTTTAAGATCTGCAGTTGCTTTTATGGTAATATTTAAAAAAGTATTATAAAAAATTATTTATAAATATTTGATTTGAATTTAATTTTTAGGGAGAATTTATAGGACAAAATTACAAAGATGATAAAATTACCAATATGGTAGAAAATATAATTAGAACTTTGGCTTAGAAATTATGAGAGAATTGCTATTTGTAAGATCAACTATAATTTTTTCTAATATGATATAATAGTTTTTAAAATAATTTTTAATATTGACTTTTTATTTTTTAATTTGTTAGGAGTTGGTGGGAATTTACCAAGATCATTAATTCCACAACTATCACCTGATTATTTAAATTACAGGTCGTTATATTGAAAATAGTAGGGAATGGTTGACACAAGTAATTTTCTTATTCATATAATAATTAATTGATTGACGATTTATTTATTATTTTTTGTCTTTATTTGTTTGTAAAGAGGAAACTTTCCATTTAAAATGTTAATCAAGTTATTAAACAAATTTTGCTAAAGCAATTCTAGGGTATGTGTGTTTTATCTTCATTATCATTTGATTATAGGAAAAAAATAAATTCATAATTTTTCTTCCTTCTCCAAATAAAATCAAAGTACAAGATCATCTCAAAAGTTTAAAGGAATAGCAACTGAATTTTCTATAAAATGTAGAGGTTTGGAGGATTCTGTTTATTGTAGTCTGATTAAAATATTAATTAGTTTGTGCTTATTTTCCTTTTCTTTCAAAGCCTTTACCAATAATTCGTTCATATTGATCAATTCATTTTTTTTTAAATAATAATATTTATTATTATTATAATTTCCATATTTCTAGATATCTACAACAATAAAATAATAAGTCAAAAAAAAAAAAAAAGAAATTTACAAATAAATAATATTAAATTAAAAAAAAGTTCTTGATAATGATGGTGATGATGTTTTTTGTTTGTTGATGATTAATTCAATTCATTTATTTATTTTATTCATAAGTCCAGTTATTTAGTTTTTTTTTTTTTCATTACTAAATAACTTATCAATCTATACATCCACTCACATACATTAATCCACCAATCCACAAATATATCCATCATAAATTTTCTCCCCTTTCATATTTATCAAATTCTTCTTTAGTACAAAGTTTTTCAAATTGTCTTGTTGCTGAACCAACAATATGTTCAGCTTTAGTTAATTCCCACATAGATTTTACAAGTTCACGTTCTGATTTAAGAACATCCGCGTTTAAATCTAATTCAGCATCTCTCAAACGTTGACCTTCCATCGAATGACTTACCCACTTTTTCCCACACACACACATTAAAAAAAATCAATGTAGAGTAGAATCAGTAAAAAACAATAAAAAAAATAAATTTAAAACAAATATAATAATAATAATACCTTTTTTTCATCGTCACAATATTGAGGTAACAACTTAAATCTAATCCCAGTTGAAGAAAATGGATGAAGTTTATTTAATGTTTCAATATATTCAACAGATCCAGGCTGTAATAATTCCAAGCGCATTTTTTTATTTGGTGTATGCGGGGTAGTGGATGCAGAAGAATATAATGGTATTGATGACGATGGTGATGTTAATATTAATGATGATGGCGTTGGTGATGATGAATTATAATGTTGTTGATATTTTGCTGTATTATAAGAAGAAGAACCATAACCGTTTGGTGGGGAAGAATAATGATAATGATCTTTTATATAATCATGATGATGTGGATAAGGATGTTTTAGTGGACTTTGATTGTTGTTGTTGTTGTTGTTGTTGTTGTTGTTGTTATTGTTATTGTGATTATAATAATGCTGATAATTTGAATCATCATGGAGATAAGAAGAACGATGATTATTATTATTTTGATTATTATTATAGGAAGAAGAACTATTGCTTCGTGAAGAAGTAGACGATGGAGGATAGTGAGAGTTGCTATTGATATTATTGCTATTATTATTTGAAGGATAGTTACGATGCTGTTGTTGATCCCATTCTGAATAATAAGGATTTGATCTATACGATGAAGAAGCAGAATGGTGGTGGTGGTATGAGTGTCTACTTGTTGAAGAAGACTTGTAACGTGAAGAATCTTTAATACTTCTACTCATAATTTTTTTTATATATATATTGGTAGATTTATTTTTATATCCGATATTTATGCCATTTTCTTTAAAAAAAAATAAAAAAAATTTTAAGTAACCAGTTATGGTGCAAATCATCTAATCACGTGCTGCGCCATTTACCTGATTTGCTAATAAAGAAATTGTCAATAAATAATACGTAATAATAAGCATTCTCTGCTGTAAATTCAAATTTGGCAAAAGATCAGTGGATAACATCGGTAATAACAAGCATTAAAAAATCACGGTTTAGGTATAATAATAATAATAGTAGTAATAATAATAGTAATAATAATAGTAGTAATAATAGTAATAGTAATAGTAATAGTAATAGTAATAGTAATAGTAATAGTAATAGTAATAGTAATAGTAATAGTA